GGAGTTAGTACTGAGGACATCAGACAGAGCTAAGGAGTTAGTACTGAGGACATCAGACTGAGCTAAGGAGTTAGTACTGAGGACAGCAAAAGGAGCTAAGGAGTTAGTACTGAGGACATCAGACAGAGCTAAGGAGTCAGTACTGAGGACATCAGACAGAGCTAAGAAGTTAGTACTGAGGACATCAGACAGAGCTAAGAAGTTAGTACTGAGGACATCAGACAGAGCTAAGAAGTTAGTACTGAGGACATCAGACAGAGCTAAGAAGTTAGTACTGAGGACATCAGACAGAGCTAAGGAGTCAGTACTGAGGACATCAGACAGAGCTAAGGAGTCAGTACTGAGGACATCAGACAGAGCTAAGTAGTTAGTACTGAGGGCATCAGACAGAGCTAAGAAGTTAGTACTGAGGACATCAGACAGAGCTAAGAAGTTAGTACTGAGGACATCAGACAGAGCTAAGGAGTCAGTACTGAGGACATCAGTCAGAGCTAAGGAGTCAGTACTGAGGGCATCAGACAGAGCTAAGTAGTTAGTACTGAGGACATCAGACAGAGCTAAGAAGTTAGTACTGAGGACATCAGACAGAGCTAAGAAGTTAGTACTGAGGGCATCAGACTGAGCTAAGGAGTCAGTACTGAGGGCATCAGACAGAGCTAAGGAGTTAGTACTGAGGACATCAGACAGAGCTAAGGAGTTAGTACTGAGGACATCAGACAAAGCTAAGGAGTTAGTACTGAGGGCATCAGACTGAGCTAAGGAGTTAGTACTGAGGACATCAGACAGAGCTAAGGAGTCAGTACTGAGGACATCAGACAGGGCTATGGAGTTAGTACTGAGGACATCAGACAGAGCTAAGGAGTCAGTACTTAGGACATCAGACAGAGCTATGGAGTTAGTACTGAGGACATCAGACAAAGCTAAGGAGTCAGTACTGAGGACATCAGACTGAGCTAAGGAGTTAGTACTGAAGACATCAGACAGAGCTAAGGAGTCAGTACTGAGGACATCAGACAGAGCTATGGAGTTAGTACTGAGGACATCAGACAGAGCTAAGGAGTCAGTACTGAGGACATCAGACAGAGCTAAGTAGTTAGTACTGAGGACATCAGACAGAGCTATGGAGTTAGTACTGAGGGCATCAGACAGAGCTAAGAAGTTAGTACTGAGGACATCAGACAGAGCTAAGAAGTTAGTACTGAGGACATCAGACAAAGCTAAGGAGTTAGTACTGAGGGCATCAGACTGAGCTAAGGAGTTAGTACTGAGGACATCAGACAGAGCTAAGGAGTCAGTACTGAGGACATCAGACAAAGCTAAGGAGTTAGTACTGAGGGCATCAGACTGAGCTAAGGAGTTAGTACTGAGGACATCAGACAGAGCTAAGGAGTCAGTACTGAGGACATCAGACAGAGCTATGGAGTTAGTACTGAGGACATCAGACAGAGCTAAGGAGTCAGTACTGAGGACATCAGACAGAGCTAAGGAGTTAGTACTGAGGACATCAGACAGAGCTAAGAAGTTAGTACTGAGGACATCAGACAGAGCTAAGGAGTTAGTACTCAGGACATCAGACAGAGCTATGGAGTTAGTACTGAGGACATCAGACAGAGCTAAGAAGTTAGTACTGAGGGCATCAGACAGAGCTAAGGAGTTAGTACTGAGGACATCAGACAGAGCTAAGGAGTCAGTACTGAGGACATCAGACTGAGCTAAGGAGTTAGTACTGAGGACATCAGACAGAGCTATGGAGTTAGTACTGAGGACATCAGACTGAGCTAAGGAGTTAGAGCTATGGAGTTAGTACTGAGGACATCAGACAGAGCTATGGAGTTAGTACTGAGGACATCAGACAGAGCTAAGGAGTTAGTACTGAGGGCATCAGACT